AAAGAATGAAGAACATTCTTGTTAAATTTTATTTTCAAAAAATGAATGGGAGTACTGTGTCAAAGAAAAATTTTAAAAATGACAACATAAAAACAATTACTGAAGCGCAAAATGATAGACCATTGTTTCACTTACACCGTGATGTTATTTTAGATACATTTAATCCATGCAAGTATTTTTAAAGAGCCTTCAACCCCTAAAAAAGTCTAACTTCATGAGTACAGGGTCCTATAAAATGCCAAATCAGTTTCTATTGCGGTTTCATGATATTCAAAAGCAAATAAATCTGAAAATGCTTTTCATATAAAACTGTCATGTGGAATTTTACATCTAAAATATGAAGCTACAAAAACACAGGTGGGAAACTGAGAAATCTGTAGTGATGTTTCCTTTTGGGCACTGCTGGATTCAGATACTGTTCAGAAGAGCACTTCTATGAAATAACCCAAATAACTGCAGGATATTTGAAATCAGAGAGAACAATCATTTATTTCCCATCTGTACTCAGGAAACTTCCAACAGTAGCTGTTTTGTTTTTTTGATGCAACATGATATTATAACAGCTCTATTGACTTGAAAACAAGTTAAAGTAATCTCATCTTGATTTTTATATTTAGTCGCATGCCTCGATTTAATGAATTCGGCATCTCTTTTCTTATAAAGATGCTTCCACAAATAATTTAGTGATGACGAATTATATATAGAAGATTTGGAAAAAATAGTGGATATAGAGGAACATAGATAATGGTAAGACTCTTGTCCCGATGGCCGTGTGTGGACTTTGGAGCAGAAGAGCAGATGTCAACTGCTTTGACCTTCGGGATAGCAATCCTCCTGTCTGAGCTTCTAGAAAGAAAAGGAAATGATCTTGAATGATGAGGTGGCTTTACCAAGATGAATTCTCTTTAGCTTTACCAAGATGACGTCCAAGGAGAGAGTGGGTCCCTGTGACTGTGAGGGAGTGCCAAGGGAGACAGCGTGTGACAGATGACAGCGCACGAAGCTCTGTCTTCCCGAGTTTATAAAATTCCTTCATTAAATAGCATGGTTTTTCTACTTATGGCACATACAACAGCCCTTAAGAATTGCAAAATTCTAGGGCATTTATGTTTTACTATTTTCTGTTTATAGTTCGGATCTTAAAATGTGAAATACCTTTATCGAAATAACACTGAAAATTCAAGGATGCTCATTGCAGAGTGACTGATAGCTCTCCTTCCAAATGTATATCAGATTCTTCCTGATGTAATATTTTTCAAAACATGCTAAATTTGAACTAAGATCATATTTTACTGTTCTGTACCTTCAGGAGCTAAATTCAGCAAACTAGTCAAGAATCCACTAGAGAGCAAATTCTTGCCTTGTCTGGGCATGTATCTCTGGAGAAAGAGAAAGCACGTGAGAACCTGCTATGATTTCTAAGACATCGCAGACTCAGAGAAATAGAATTTCTTGTCTTGAGCCAATTACAAAGAAGGGGAAAGAAAAATTCTGTGTACAGGAGAAAGCTTGCGTGTTAACCGGTAGCTTCTATCCGTTCTTAATCATTTTACATCACTTTCTCATTTTATGAGGATTAAATGTTTCTTTGTTGGTAGCTTTGAGGAGTGGGATGCATCCATGGTTTCACAGTTGATTGAGTGAAAGTCTAAACTCAGATTTGTGTCATTTAAACATGTTCACAG